GCCTGTACTGTATTTTGGGAAAATTGAATATACATACGAACACTCGTTGTCACTTTAATGAAAGTGATTGATTAAAATATTCGTTTCAAATAATGGTGTAATTTTGAAACATATAAAAAAGCGTAAAAATAGAAATCTTTTATTTGAAATAATGATGGCTTCGTGAAAAAGTATGACGTATCCCTAACCAAAAATAAATTTAAAAAATTATTAATTAAATATATTGTTTGAATATATTAATTAAAATATGATTGAACAACATTTTATACCCAGTAACTAGAAGACCGTTTTCATCGGCAAAATATTTTTCCTAGAGGGGCTAGTGTTAATTCCAGGAACCTAAGGTATCCAGCAATGGACTGTTTTAATAAATATAATTAAATCACAATCAAACATAATTTGATTTTAGGCTATCCAAGTTTTTGTTTTCATACATTTCAACAAAAGAGTGACACATGCTTGGGCTTGAACAAGTAATGTTTACCAGTTTACTGTTGAGATCTTTGTAAAATATTTCTGGCACATATAAGAAAACAATAAAACACCTACATTGAAATGGAAATTAATAAGAAAAGCTGGAATATGTAGGTCATTAAGTGACCCATGTCCATTGTGCATACATGAGAAACTATATATTACTAAGTTTATAAAAATAAAAATTTATTGAATCAAAGAATTAAAATAGTTATTCGTTGCTGATATTGTCAAAAATTTTCCTCAAATGATATTTAAAAATAAAATAAAATACAAAAAAATGGAGCTGGTAATATACATATTTACATTTGATAAGTAATAATAATTTTGAAATAATTGAAATAATTCTATTATATTTATTTGATTTAAAAAGAAATTTAGTCTATGATTAATTAAGAGTAAAAATAATACTTTAACATTGTAGTTTACTATAACATATTCTAACCCAAACACCCCTTTTAGAAAGAATCATTAAGTATACAAATACGAATTTAACGGGAAAAAAATGCTGGAAATCTTTTTGTTATTGATAAAAATAAAAAAATAAATAAAAAAAAAACAGACGACGTGCATTGAACGGATGTCAAAATTCATTGAAAAATACACCCCGACCCGCTTTAGACTTAACCTCTTTTTCGAACGTAACTCATAATTAAATAAAATAATAGATAATAAAAATGAACACGTTACCTCCTCTTTCTAAATGATTGGATTTCTCTGTATCCTTGGCACCAAAAACTTGTGGATTGTATGTGAGTTTAAACCTCAGTAAATTTAAAAATAAGTTATTCCATCCTTCACTTGAAGATAAAACAGAACTAAGGATTTTAATTTAATTATATAATTAAATTTAAAGTTTTCAGCTTCGGTTTTTGAAACGTGGTTATTACAGTGTAGCGAAGAAACCATATTTTAAATCAGTTAATTTATGATACTTATGCTCTGTAAATTTACACTGACCACTGTTTTTGAAAATAAAAATATCAATAAGAACATCAGATTATATATTTTACTGTACTTTCTTTTTTTTTATTATATATATATATATATATATATATATATATATATATATATATATATATATATATAGATAGATAGATAGATAGATAGATAGATAGATAGATAGATATTTGTAAAATATGAACTTGATTTTTGGTTTAAAAGTTTACGACCGCAGTTTATTTTGATGACGACAGAATTTTTAGGATAGGTTCGCATGAATAGATTCTTTTATATATTTTCTAAAAACGTATTTCTGGTTCTTTTTCCATATGTATTGCTGGTGTTTTTACTTTAAAAATCTATTTTTATACTTTCACAGTGTTTTGACAACAGTTTGGGGGAGATTAATTATTTGCCCATAGCTGGGACCCTAACAACTGTTACTACTCTGAGTCAAAGTAAACCAGTTAAGATGTTGTTTCATGCACTTCAAACCCTCCCGATCAAAGATCTTGCTGCCGGATGTAGTTCATCGTCTTACACAGGACTTATAAACATATCATAACAAGTGATAATTAACATTTCATTTATCTTTGCCTTCATTCTACCATATATATATATATATATTTAAATGTTGTTTATGTATAGATTTAATTAAAATAAGGATTTTGCAGGAATTAATAAAGAATGGATTAATATTTTAAATAAAAATATCGGTTGCGTGCTGCACTGATTTTTCTTCTCGTCAGAATTTCAGTTGGAATGACACTATAATTTTTAACCTGGTCTCACAATTGCTTTCAGTGATTTTTCCAATAAAGATATTAATACATAAAAACTGAACAATGATTTTGCGCAAGTGACATTTTACAGATTATAAATGACATCCTTGTAAAATATGAAATAGTAATAGCAAGTGATGAATAACATTGTTTTTTATTTATATGTCTATATTTCTGAGATCAGGTATCATGTACACTATTTACATTATTCGGACTATTGTGCTCATCTTTGTCGCCATATTCATTACAACGTTTCGGCCGTTGTACGCTCAGGCCTTCTTCAGGTGGTTGGAATATCGAACTTAATCATTTATTTCGCTCAATGTGGTAGAATGTTCTAGTTCAACGTGCCATGTTTAATGAATGTCACTTATCAGTTATCTCTTGCTAATTTCCCCCTCCAAGTTCTCCACTGCCTTAACAGGGTATTAAACTCGAACACTTTGGGTCCCGTCACTGGATATAACCAATGGCTTTATCCACTGTGCTCCAGGACACATGGCACAGTGTATAAAGGCTTTGGTTAGATAGTGCTTTTTTTTTTTTACATTTTTTAATCTTACAAGGTATAGCTTTTTTTTAATTAAATAACGAATATAAATATATTTATTAAAATGTTAATTATATTATTTACCCAGTATTAATTATTAATCACTGAATTTAGAATCTTCCATTTTGCCGGCAGTAGATTTGAACGGGGACATTCACATAATGAATAAAAACATTCTAATGTAAACCTAGAAAGCCGCTAAGTCCATTACGGATTCCAAGAAATTGCGCTTTAATGACTAGATTTACTGGCTACGTTATTGACTTAGTCAGGATGACAAGATAAAGATGAATCAGAAAGCAAATCGCATTGCCTGAATCGCACAGCAGTACATTTAAGCGAAATATAAACTAGCAAGTCAGCGAAACTAAATATCTGCGTTGGACTACTTCGGCTTTTCGCTTCCAAGTTGACTGGAAGTTTTCTTTAAAGAATAAAAAAAAAAAAATTGTTATTCTATGTGCAATATCCGTTCAACATTTTGGCGGTCATGGCTCTCCACAATTTCCCAGTGCGTTGTAGCTCTTAGTACATTTTGTCTTTTTTATGTTTCGTTAACCCTGTTAAACATTAAAATCGTTAGGTGTCTGTTTTAACCTGTTCCTTTGTCTTCGGTATGTCCTAACAGAGTCAAATTTTCAAGCACTCTTTCTCATGACGTATCCAAGGTATTACAAATCTAAAACTAAATTTCTGTTGCCTGAAACCTCGTCTTCATCTGCTAGTATATTTGCCAGCATTTACTGCGATATAGGAGGAATGATATTATATGACACCACATTATTAATTTATTTTCTACAGAAAATTTCCTGTTATTTAAAATTTTACTTAGATTTAGGAAAGCTTTTCGCTTTTCCAATGTCGCTTCGGATATCAATATAGCATTTTTCTGTCCGTTCTTTAAATATTTCTTAGATATTAAATTTTTGAACTTGCTTGATATCGGTGAACCAAATTCGCATCTTGGACTATTCCTTTAGCTGACACCCCTACATAATGTGTTTTTACTATTGATCTTTATACCTTTGAGCTAGCTTTCATTTACTACAATCTGGAGAAGTTCCTATAGTTCCCTCACTGTCGTACGCATGTCGAATATTTCTTTTTCAAATTGTGGCCGCAAATAATGAATCCCGGTATGAAATCTCTCGCCATAAGTATTTCCATTTTTCTGTATTTAATGTATTCATTTTCTAACTATATGCAAGCTGCTTTTTCGAATTATAAGATATGGATTATTCTAACATATTTCCCAACAAGCTTAGCTAACTGTTCAAAAAGTTCATTTCGACGTAAATAACTTTTTCATAGTCACTAAAACATAGTATACAGTGGGGTTGTGTGGGCATGTGTGGTATGGAAACAAATATACGTACATACATAAATTGTTATTAATTTACTGTATTTCCAAATAAGGAATAAAGATATTTTTCACATAATTAACTGTACACAGATGCATAATAATGATATATGCATAGAAAACAGAAACAAAATTAATAGGAATAAAACCAAGTTATCTATATTAATGGGGAAAATATTCGTACAATACAAAAGGAATTCATAATCTTCATTTAATACGTTATAGAATATCCGTTATTCACTTCTACAGTAAACATCAGCTTCTTGTAGTTCACAGTTTGCAAATTTTAGTTGATATATTCTTCCGTCATTTCTTTGCATATGGTCTTCAAATCTGGGGTGTTTGTTGGAACTTTCGATTGGATTTGAATTTTCAAATTCTGCCACAGATTATGCATTGGATTTAAATTTGGGGAGTGACTTTGCCATTTCAGGATATTTGCATTATTTTAATCAAGTCATTTTTCGTAGATTTTCCAGTATGCTTCGGAATATTATCACGTTTGAAGATCCAATCAGGAGGAAGTTCAAGATTTTCAACCGAAATCATTAAATTTGCCTCCAAAATATTTTGATATGCTGCGGCAATCGTACTAACATCTATTACTGATATGTTTTTAGTGTCATTTGCAAATACACTTCCCCAAACCATGATGCCGCCACCACCAAATTTCACTGTTGGAACAGTGTTCTTTGCCTGAAAGCATGGCCATCTATCCACCATACATGATTTCTAGAATTACGTCCAAACAACTCTTTTTTTTTGTTTCGTCTGTTCATAATAATCTTTCCCTATACGATCTTTCCCTATCCTTAATTTCAAGAACGAATTTCAACCTGGCATTTTTGTGTTTTTTGAATTTTCCTAGTGGAGCGTGACTTTAGATTGTTCC